AAAAAAAAAAAAAAAAAGAAAAAAAATTTTATTGCAGAGTTGGGATCTCACTACGTTGCCCAGACTAGTCTCTAACCCCTGGCCTCAAATGGTCCTCTTGCCTCAGGCTCTCAATGCACTAGGATTACAAGTGTGAGCCACCACACTCCAAAATTTTTCAATTAACACATTTATAAATTTTCTCATAGATTGCCGATTTAACTATCAGAGAGAAATTTAGTTTGCCTTATTTCCAAGTTCTTAGTGGGTTGTTTTGGAGGAAAGGAACAAAAACTACTCAAACTAGTTTAATCAGAAAAAAATGGGAAATTTATTGGAATGTAGCGATCTCTTGTAACTTAAGAGCATTAACCCTTAAGAGTTCAAGGTTTAAAAAAAAAAGTAAAAAAGAACCCAAGAGCAGGAGGAATAAGTGCTGCTAGGCTTCTGAGAAACTGGAAAGGCAATCAGGAAAGGAGTCAGAATTCAAATGGTTTATTTATCTTTGATTATCTCCCTAGTATCTCACCTTTTTTTTTTTTTTTTTTTTTTTTTGAGACAGTCTCACTCTGTCGCCAGGCTAGAGTGTCGTCGCACAATCTTGGCTCACTGCAACCTCCACCACCCAGGCTCAAGCGATTCTTGTCTGTCTCCCCAGTAGCTGAGACTACAGGCGTTGTGCCACCACCCCCAGCTAATTTTTGTATTTTTAGTAGAGATGGGATTTCACCATGTTGGCCAGGATGATCCCCCTGCCTCAGCCTCCCAAAGTGCACGGATTATAGGCGTGAGCCACTGTGCCCAGCCAGTTTCTCAATTTCTTAATCTTTCAGCAGATGTATTTTCTCTGATCTGACATTCACACACACACACCTATCTGTGTACTTTGCCCCATAAATTCCTAAGGTCAGACTTAAGTATAAAACCCAAGTCCAGTTTTGCAGGAGCAGGAATATGATTGGCTGATTTTGGACCAGGTGAACTCTGCTGGTACAACTGGTGGCCAGAAAGGTAAAAGTCATGTGACTACAGTCAGATAGGAGGAGGGTTGTAGGTTTGCAGATGCTCTAAGGGTGTGTGAAGAACTGGAGGCAAAGGTGGGTAACTTTGATATGGAAGAAAGTTCGCTATTATCCCAGGTACTATCTATAATCACTAAGTTAGGTTGTTTCTACATCCAGAAAGCTGCCTGGGTCTGTTCTGTCATTCCTCTAATTCAGGGGACCTCAACGCCCAGGCCACACACTTGTGGCCTGTTAGGAGCTGGGCTGCACAGCAAGAGGTGAGCAGCGGGCAAGCAAACATTACTACCTGAGCTCTGCCTCCTGTTAGATCAGGATGGCATTAAATTCCCACAGGAGCTCAAACCCTATTTTGAACTGCACCTGTGAGGAATCTAGATTGCATGCTCCTTATGGAATCTGATGATCTTGCAGTGCAGCAGTTTCATCCCGTTACCATCCTCTGCCCCACAGCCACCCCCCCCCCACCCGAACCCTGTGGAAAATTGTCTTTCACAAAACCAGTCCCTGGTGCCAAAAGGGAGAATTGGAATCTAATTCAAATCTCTTGCCTGAAATATTGCAAGAGCTTCCTTTTCGCTGTCTTTCACTCTCCTGAAATCTATCCTCCAATGCCACAAGGTAATAGTTCGAGGATTAACTAAAAACTTCGTCAACTTTAAAGCACTCCACAAATATGAAGTAGTAATAAGGCCGTTGCAATGGTTCACACCTGTAATCCCAACACTTTGGCAGGCTCAGGTGGGAGGATCACTTGAGGCCAGGAGTTCAAGGTCAACTTGGACAACAGGACGAGATGCTGTCTCATTAAAAAAAATAATAATAGGCCGGGCGCGGTGGCTCAAGCCTGTAATCCCAGCACTTTGGGAGGCCGAGGCGGGTGGATCACGAGGTCAAGAGATCGAGACCATCCTGGTCAACATGGTGAAACCCCG